TGTTACCTAGCAGTAAATAGGTACCTGGGAGTTAGTCAGCTGTCACGGGCTGCTTCCTGGGGGTGGAGGCCTGGTCGAGGACCGGGCCACGGGGACACTAAAGCCCCGAAATCATCTCAAGATAACCTCAAGAAGATTAGGGGTATATATAAAAAACTTGCCATAGGCTATACAGAATTTATTCATCAACAAACGAGTTATTAAAAAGTTATGGGAGATGAACATTACGTATGCAAAACTCGTTAATAGTAGGCCATTATTTCACGAGTCAGGTTCTGTTTACATTACTTCAGGGCCAATCACTTGGGCTGGACGGTAGAGCGACGGTCTCGCTTCATGCAGGCCGGGGGTCAATCCCCGACCATCCAAGTGGTTGGGCACCATTCCTTTCCCTCCGTCTCATAAATCTTTATCCTGACCTCTTCGAAGTGCTATATAGTCGCAATGGCTCGGTGCTTTATCCTTATAATTACCTTACACAACTTCAATGACTACTAGCCTATTCAGATTGCTTAACCATGGGAGTGGTTAAACAACTGGCCAAGGAACTAGTGACCAGGGCGATTTTTACCTATTAGACTACGTTGTTATGGGAGAACGGAGGTAACCCATTAGGCTATTAAAAATGGCAGTTTTTTAACCAACATTTACGTCTGATTACTCGTGCATAGAAGTATTAGTGTTAACTAACAAAGGACACTTAATGAATACCTTATCTTTACTTCATTTCAGAGGAAACTATGGGCCTAATCATCCGAGAACATTAAAGCTTTATCACATTGATTTAGGTCAGCCTGGCGAGACCAGTCTAATTCTCTTGTCCATACCCGTCTCCACTTACCTGGCCAACCTAATAAGGGACAACTAAACATGGACAGCCAAAACGCGTCTGTTTAAGGAGCCACTGAAATTCCATCTCAAGATACAAAGAAACACCCACACTATCCTGGTACTGAAGCACCCGCTATATTACTATATATACAGCAAGTCCGCCACACAGGCCAATACTCCATGAAATTAAAAACCCCACATAATTAGGCACACTATTTCCCCATTAAGCACGTGACCGATAAACTAATGGGGGCCGATACGCCAGCATCACCACGAAGATGAACAGACTTACTTACGGACTTTCCTCTTGACACCACATTAGGCGGTGAGTCACCCTGGATACCGTAAACGGCGGGAGAGAGAGTGGCCCATCAACACGTCACCGCAATTATAATATTGACATCACAAGGGAGTGTGGAGGCGAGGGCGGTAAACTCAAACTACAGAGGAAGTCACGGTTGCACATTTTCTACCAATTATTCATTTACGGCGCTAGACGGCTTAAAAATGTTCTTTCCCTCCATGGACAGGGTTAGATTTGATAGAATACATATAATGTAGGCGTAGATTACTGCCTGCTGGGACCTGCTGCCTGGGTAACAGCTTCTCCCCCGAATTTGCGCCCTGGTGAGGCCACTCCAGACCGACAACCAGAGCGCAACTCCACAGTTTCCCGAGACTGATGGATGCCTGTTACTACTACTACTACTACTAGGCGTAGTGTATTCCCTAACGTGGCTAGAGTGGATGGTGAGAGACAAGAAAAAATATGGAGAGGATTCAAGGTCCATTACACAAGGGGAATAAATGTGGCGTCACAGTTCCCAGAAGAGGGCATATAATGCCAACTAAAGAGAAGGCAACAATTCCAGTTAATGGATGAAATGGCCTTATGCGACAGAGGGGGTGTAAGGGAGTGGGGAAAAGTCATAATACAGGAATGGAACGGTAACACGTAACGGTGCAGCCTAAAGATAATGACTATTACAGATTATGGGGGAAAAGAGGGAAAACAGAGGGGGGAATGTTGTACGAGGGAGGTAATGTGGAAATATAGTAACCTAATTATGTGGGTCAATGTGGAAATATAGTAACCGAATTATGTGGGTCAAGATGCACGATAAGAGATAGAGCGAGTTATGCGTCACGTGGAAAGATAAACTGTAAATATAAGTCTAACGTTTGGGAGTAGAATGGGTCAAAAAGCTTAGCACTACAATGCACCACTTCCCGGGAACGTGATTGACACCGCAGATGTATAGAAATTTGACTAATGAGCCAGAGGCATTAGAATACTATACACCACCAGCGTAGTGAAGTAGAATGAACGTTTGTAGTAAAGGTAAAAATCCTTTATTGAAAAAGAATCCCAGACGATAATATAGTGCTTAAGGAGTGGGGAACCAATTACACCAGCCGATTGAAGGTTGACAGGAAAGGCGCCGAAGCTCAATTCTTAAGCAAAGACTGGTTGGTACCATAAAAGTTCCTGTCAAGTTGGGGGAAAGAAAAAAAAATTATAATGTTCAGTCGTAAAGTCGTCGTCTCCCATTGTTCCCTGGGAAAATAGATGTCGGGTCAACTTGAGGAGTAACATTGTTTCGCTGTCAAACACTGATAACGGCTATTTCGTCTTTTGTAAAATACAAAAGTGCAGGTTCAGAGACTTCAGTAAATACTCGTGACGTGGATTTTCTGCGAATTAGCTTTGTTCTTTCATTTAATCTTGCCACGGAAATGATGTGTGCCGCCGTCGGATGTTTAAGTGACAATTTTTGTTCTCGCTCATTTATCACCACACGTTACAGAGCCTTTAATTATCCTTTCTATTCCAAAGTTCATATAAATCAACTTCTAAGTCGTCAAGGAGGACAATTTATAAAATTTCTCCTACAAACTTTTTCCACCATGTTACAATGCTACTTCATGTATTAAGTCATTCCTATGGTATTTGCTCCCCCATTCAATACAGTACTCGCGTTCTCCCTTTTGGAATTAATAGCCAATATCCTATTCATTACTGTTTAAGACTACAGCCATGTTATTTGTTCCTCTTCCTTTCCGTAAGTGGTTACCCATCTATATGAAGTACAGTATAGTTTGGCTAAATTATACAACAAAACATTATTTTAGCAGAGCATGTTCAATCATTGGTAAAAGTAACCCTTTACGAAGTTAATCTTCCATGGTTTCGCAGACATTCGATAGTCAGTTGTTATAAATTATTATTTAACCCTTTCATGGAATTAATGAGAACGCCGAAGATGATAAATGCAAGCAATATAAATATTGCACAGTATTAATTTCCTATACCTTTACATGGCAATAGTAAAGAACCCTTGGCGATTATGTAGTGCAGATTGTCACCATACGGTAACAAAAAAAATGAATCGTGCGTTTCAAGAATTCTTAAAAATGGCTAATCCTGAACATCGCGATCCTTCCTCAGCATTATCGTTACAGTGTCTACAAATTGCTTATATTTATATCAAGAGAAACTAAAATTTATTTAGCAATTAGGTTGGAGACCGGCTGATGCCCTGTGGTAAGGTCATGCCTTGCCACTTTCTCCCTACAAAGTCATTCAAGCCAGTGCCGTTTCCAGTGCCACTGGAAAGTTTCAAAACAGGATCTGCCTCACAAAAGCCAGTAGGCCTACTTTAGTGTTGCTTCAGATCAACATTATTGCAACTTAAATGTAAAACGTGGCATTGAGAATGCATATAACCCAAGCTAAATCAAGTTCCTACTTTAAATAATTTTGTACCAATACCTGAACCATTTTTTTGGTTCATCTCCAATCTTTGTTATAATCGTCATATTTTGCAGCAACCACAGACGTTCACCTATCACCCTCTATAGCAATTCCCGTTGTTGGGAAACAGGAAGCCTGCACTTCAGATTATGGAGATCACACACTGCCATCTATTGACCTTCTCCAGGCGGTAACAGTTCCTATAACTTGCCGGTACCTCTATTTACCGCTAAGTGAACGAAAGCATCAGGCGAGAGGAGACATGCCTGGGAATTGAACCCGGGTCCCTGGGTCGAATGTCTAGGACAGATCAAGACGAGGTTTCCTTCCACTATTTCCTTTGCTTTCTTCACGACCTTGGCCAACTGTCCTTTCAGCACCCTAACTACTTCCTACTCTACCTACAATACCACGTTCCAATATGCAAATGTATGCGATAGCAAGGGAAATTAAACATTAACCATAACATCAAAATATAATCAATCTCGCACAGTTTAAAAGTGAATTGAACACACTTCGAAACTCGCCCCCTAAACACCAACACTGTTTTCTATTCCGCAGTCCAAATATGCTCAGGAGGTCACCGACTCCAGCAACTGGTTTCTCTATCTATTCTTATTCAAGTGCTCGTTCAGAGAGACCGCAGGAGACGACCAGTGCGTCTACCACCACCATAGGCACGAAGAGGCTATAAATGTCAGTTTTATGTACGCAATATTACCAATTCTAAAAACAGTCACATTCCTATAGTAACTAAACTGCCTTATACTAATGTTGGCAAGGAAATGTAACTACCAGGAGAAAGCGCCAAGCCATTACGGCTATATAACACTTAAGATAATCAGGATAAGGATTTGGGATGGGAAGGAATGGTGTCCAACCATTTGGATGGTCGGGGATTGAACGTCGACCTGCACGAAGCAAAACTGTCGCTCTATCGTACAGCTTAAGTGGTTGGGTCTTTATGGTTAAGTAGCAAGACTGATAATCCTACCTAAATGTCCGCTTATGAAACTCGCTAATTGGCCATCGTCTTACCCAAGTGTGGGTCAAACAAGGGCACACTGGGAGCCGCTCGAGATGGAAAGCGAGAAGGTCAGGTTAGAGACAAAGGCCCCCCCCCACTGACCCTCCCCCGTCTTACCTGGAAACTGGAGCCGTTTCAACATTATATTGGCAGACATGATTATGCAACCAACTGGTGCCCACTTAAACATATTTATGTTATAAATAACCAAATCCCTTTGCCAGCCGAATTATGGTAAACTACCAGTGAAGTACACATGCCTAACCAACACTAAACTGTTTAAATGAAGTTAATTAAGAATTCCTAAAATCAAAACATGAAGCACTTGCCGTAACAGCAGTTCCTGGAGGAGGGGGGGGGGGGGAAGTAATAAGAAGCTGTACATACCTTAAGTCGGTTGATCTCCATCTTGAGGGCGGCTATTTCCTGCTTCTTAGACTCTGCATTTTTAACCAAATCGGACACGGTCTTCTCCAGCTGCGCCTTCTCGGGGAAGGAAGAGGCGCTGGAGGTGGAGAAAGTGGGCGAAGTGGGCGAAGTGGGCTGCAGGTGAGGGTGGGCGAGGTCTGGAGGCTGGGTGGGCAGGGGAGGTGATGGCACCATGGTCCTGGTAGCTGGGGTCGGCAGTGCCATGTTCTCCTTATTACTCCCCTTGCCCTCCATCTTCCTGTTGGCTTTGCTACTCGACTGTTGCTTCTTTTCTTCCTTCAGTGTCGGCAGCGTTTGCATGTCAGAAGATACAGACGACGACGAGGACTTCTTGGATACCCCCTTATGCTGATCCTTGGCCTTGTCTCCGGCAGCGTTGGTCGCCGTGCCCTTGGACCCTTGTTGGCTGCCAGCCCCGCCGTGGTCCTTTGATATCCTACGGAACAAGGATTTGAACCTGAGAGACATTTTGTTGGAAATTTGGGTCACTGGTTAAAAACAACAAGGAAGGAAGCCCGAGCAGGTGCCTCAAGGTACACGTGTTAAGGGGACGTCCAACATCAAACCATCACCCTCCCCTCTGCCACCTGTTGCCACTGTTGCTCTGGGACCATCCGCCTGTCACTCGCTACCTGCACGCACGCACACACCTGGATTCGGTTACAACACTATTCGCCAACCGTCGTCAACACTTTGGCTTTCCATGAACACTAACACCAGAACCAGTCCAAACGCCTCGTATATATTTGTTGGGGTGTCACTCAAGTTTATATCGGGTTGAAGTGGGAGGGGAGGCGGGGAGCGCCCAGGTGTTGGAGCGAGCGAGGCAGCTACCAGTTCCTCTATGATCCACGACTATCACAAGCTGCCTGCCTCTTATCGTGGGAACCCGCCCAGTATCATCACTAATGCTATCTCTCCTTGGCTATCACACACACAGTTTAAAACAAGCTTCGCTTTATCGATAAATGCAACCATACGACCCGTTAACTCCTCCAGGCGCGCGGGTCAAGTCGGAAGAATCTAGTTCGTTCAATGACAACTTGGATACAGCCTTCATCAAACAAACGCGTTTGCCAATAGGTGTAAAAGGCGTCTCTGTGGAAATTAAAACCCGGCTTGTCTAACCGAATTCCATGACGCTGTCGGTGGCGTGCTCCGGCCCTGACTGAACCCACCTCGCCACTGCACACCACAACAATTCCCTTCCAGCCTTCACTGGTAACACTCAAAAGTTACCACGTACACCACCCCCTCTACAATTTCCCTCTCGCACTCCCTTATCCCTAACGGGCCACCTTGCCTCTAAATAACACACATGTACCAGTATCATTAATCATTATTAATAAGATAACTAATGGGGAAAAGGTACATATAATGAGTAGAAAAAAATGAGGCGGTGGTAACGTGGGTGGAGTGCGCAGTGTTGCCACTCGGGCAGCGGGCCCCGCCGCCGCCGGCAGGTGGTTGGTGGCTGCCGCGCCCGCCACGTTTGAAAGCCACGGATAACTACCCTACTGCCGTATATATAAAAGGGCATCACGCGGCGCCTTTGTGATACAATTTGGCCGACAAATGTGTGTTTTTTTGAGTTAAAAATACATCCATATAGTTTAGACACCAAGTTCAAAGTCTCAACTACGTATGTATTCGGCCGTGACAATCCCCGATATCAAAATTTGTATCAACAAAACCACAAAGTTTGATACAAAATTTATTTGTAAAACCTAGTCGGTAAAGCAATGATCTTACTAACTCGTAATTAATGTATAATGGGTACACTACCGTGGTACGCCCTACACAAAACCAAAGATAATTAAATATTTAGGAGAATTGATCTTTTAATCTTCCTAGGCTTTAAATGTTAAGTAATTAAAATTAAGATGAATTAAATTAATATCGAATATTAAAAAGTATTATCAGTAAGAGCAGGCGATTGATATCATTGGTGTCATCACTTACTGATATTAGTTAACGGCTATAAATGTTATATATAATTGTAATCTTAAAACTATGAAGGCAGATATGGATGGTTGTGAAGTAATTAATCATTGTTTCTACATCATTAACCCTATTTATAATGGTACATAATTCCTAGAGATTTGGGATTAGGAGCTTCTTATTGTTTAAGATTCACAACTTGGAATAAAAAGTTCCAAGTAGCACGGGCTATGGTGAGCCCGTTGTGGACTTACCTGGCACAGGAGCGGGGCTGTGAATTAGGAGCGATGAGAGAAGGGCCGGGATGGTGTTGGGGAGGGACGTCAAGGGTTGACAGGACAGTAGGGAAGGGATAGGTAGAGGGGGAGGGGAGGAGGGGGGGGGGGCAGACAGCGGACTTAAGTGTGGTCAAGAATGGTGAAGTTATTACGGTGGGCTTAATGGAGCTTTACCTGTTCACCCGTTAGAGTATTCATAGCTTTTACTAACTTACTACCTATTCCCCTCGCACCAGCCTCAATATAATTGAACATTGTGAATATTAAAATACTTCGTCTAAATGCGTAATGTGAGCGAGGATACGACATATCAGATCTAATCACTATTTACTAGAAACCCTACCCCACGTATTTTATATACATAAAGTGGTGCAATGGCCAGTAGGTGATACAAGTGTTTATATCCTAATAAATTATATTATGCATTCGTCCGGAAAATAACGCATACCATATTACGTTAGTACAGCGTTGCCAGGCGCCAATTTTGTTTACAACAGGAAAGAGCAACAGTCTTAACCTAATCAAACCAAACATATCTTACCTATTCTAATGGCAAGGGGAATTGTCAGGAGAAAGTGCCTATATAGTTATTATCGCCAAGGCCACCGGGATATAGTCTTCATGAAACATTACTCCAAGTAATCACTTAGCGGGTGTTGTGTGGAAGGTCGTTCTCTTATCTGGAACCCGTTACTATGGCCAGCCTAATACTTCTCTCAACATGTACGTTCTCGGGGGATGACGTAGCAGGCAGAAGATTTGTCGAGGTGTGAATTTGTGTAGGGCTTCGTTACCACACCTTCCACCACTACACCAACACCTACAACCAAACCTTCCACCACTACACCACACCTACAACCACTACACCAACACCTACAACCACACCTTCCACCCACCAACAACCACACCTTCCACCACTACACCAACACCTACAACCACACCTTCCACCACTACACCAACACCTACAACCACACCTTCCACCACTACACCAACACCTACAACCACACCTTCCACCACTACACCAACACCTACAACCACACCTTCCACCACTACACCAACACCTACAACCACACCTTCCACCACTACACCAACACCTACAACCACACCTTCCACCTACACCACCACTACACCAAACACCAACAACCACACCTTCCACCACTACACCAACACCTACAACCACACCTTCCACCACTACACCAACACCTACAACCACACCTTCCACCACTACACCAACACCTACAACCAAACCTTCCACCACTACACCAATACCTACAACACTTTACCCCGCCCCCCACCACCGTTATGTTCCCATAATTATCAACACCACTACTGCATGGGAGACTGTATTCAAGAGGGAGAAGGACGGCACCGCGCGCGCGCGCGCGTGCGTGTGTGTGCGTGTGTGCGTGTGTGTGCGTGTGTGTGCGTGTGTGTGCGTGTGTGTGCGTGTGTGTGCGTGTGTGTGTGTGTGTGCGTGTGTGTGTGTGTGTGCGTGTGTGTGTGTGCGTGTGTGTGCGTGTGTGTGTGTGCGTGTGAGTGCGTGTGTGTGGTGTGTGTGCGTGTGTGTGCGTGTGTGCGTGTGTGCGTGCGTGCGTGCGTGCGTGCGTGCGTGTGTGCGTGTGTGCGTGTGTGCGTGTGTGCGTGTAGGGGGGGAGGTAGTAAGAGGTCTTAAGACCTTTACCCATTTGCATTTATGGGGAAGTGAAGTTTAGCTCTATTACCCCGCCTGCAAGCTTTGTTATATCTGTTGCGTGATTATCTTTAAAAGGTCAGGTCAGGTTTTGAACGTAAAGTTCTAGATGGGAGGTGATTTCTATAACTTAACGACCCGCACATGGTACAAGTATTTCATGCATTCTTTCGGCTCTTTCATTCCCAACTTCCACTTAATGTCCTCTTATCCAACTTTCAATTTAAAAGGGCTGTCTTTGGAGGCCCGAGAGAACTAGCAGAGTGTGTAGACAGTGTTCGGAGTCCATCGTCCAGCTGTTATTATAATTAACATCTTTATTGACAACAAATTACAATGTTGCCCGATTTGAGGAATTCAACTAGGTCTTATTAGAGTGAGGATAATGCTGGTCACACAGGATAGACTTGCCGTCGGTGGGATGTACCGACAATGAGTCACCTGGATAAGCCCCCCTCCAATAAGCCTCTCATCCCACCGCTCATCCGTCAGCTGGCAAGCAATTCTCGGATTCAATCAGCTGATCACATCGATTCGGTCTCCCTATAAAGTGACCATCTTTAACATTTGATCACCACAAGCTTCGTGCCTTACCGTCGGTTCGTCACTAACAATTTTATCACAATAATCCTCCCATCCCACCATTAATTGATTACAATGCATCGCACAGTAAACTGTTTACAAACTTATTCCGCTGTTTACCATCAGCTGATCACAATAGTGTCCAACCGTACTTTCGTCAGCTGATAACCAGAACTTTGTCATTCGAACCTCGAAACATTTTTGGTCAATATAACAAAGCGGTTCCAGAGATCATTAACCCAATCAGACCAAACCTGACCTAGGTCATAAAAGTATTTGTGTACGTCTGGTACCATACTACTTGTGTAAAGGTGGAAATGTAGATGTTTATCTCTCAATGTTTGGTAATATGTTTATTGTTTGTGATGTGTTTATATGTATGTATTAACACGATGTACTGAACGGGGTGAGAATAGCTTGAGCTACCTCATCCCTTTGTGTGTATTTTACCTCAATAAACTTATTTCTATTTCAATTTCAACCAAGCCTGTCTGCGCCTCACAGTTGACGGCATGATCAGCCAGCATGATAGAGGCCACAGTCTGACCTGCGGACTGGACCTCAGTCCGGCTGGAAGGTTATCACAATGCTCAAACAATGTATGTATATAGGACGAGTAACAATCTGAAGACAGACGTTGCCACAGGTCGAATACGACCTGACCACAAGCATCTCTGGCAGTTCGGTCTGTATATGGATCTACATTAAGTAAGTAGATATCAAAAGAAGGCACCAAACCGGGAAGGCTATGTAGCACCATCAAATGTGCGGATAATCAGAGGGCGCTAAATATCACCAAGGATGCCAATACGAGAACAAAAACGCATAAGGCGAACGATATCAAAAGTATCCGAGGGATCTACATTAAGTGAAGCGTAACGTGTGCGGACAAAGACATTTTCACACTAGAGCATTACATCTTAGGCAGAAAATTTGAACCATATG